AAGTATGGTCCTAGGCTCGCCTGGGACCATACTTTGGGCGTCTAGATGGAGATGTTGTAAGTATCGCCGAATATGATGCAACAGCTTCATGGTGTTCATTCCGGAAGAAGCGAAACTCGTATCCAAAAATGTCAGTGTGCTGTTCGGGTAACGAGAGGCCGATTCTAGGATACAAGTAGCGTGTTGTACTTGTGAAATCAGCATTGGTATCTCAATGAAAGCTCCAAGGGTTATATAAAGATTTTTGATCTTGACTGTGTTAACTCTAACCGATTAGCGGCTGAGGATGATATTTCCAGACTCGATATGACACCAGTGTGCCACCACTCGGCTGATATGTTGAGAATGAAGAATGGTGCCATATGGGTCTCGTTCTCAGTTGAGGCATATGGTAAAGAGTGTGGTTCACTCTCAGCTGGTGGATGCATTCATCGTCACCATTCGGGGGCCATCGTGATAGCTGTGGGAGGGACTGCTTCTCACACCATCACTGAAGATTCGGCCTCAGGATCTCCTTTCAAGGTTCTCTTCAGCTCAAGCAAACAATCAAAGGATTCCAAAGCAATATTACACCACTTTTGAAACACTACGAATGAGTCAGTTTCATACTTCATCTATCCTTTCCAGCTGAAGAAGATACTGTTTGACTGTAGTAAAAAGTATCTTCTTTTCCCCAAGTTAGCCTGTAGATTCAGAGTGTGCGTTCCATCTGAATACTCGAACGAGCTACCATGGTCGCAGATGAACTCTGGAAAGTTAGGTTTAGACTCCTCATCACCTAGTGAAGTAAACATAAATTTTCTCGAGAGCATACTGTTTCTGATGCCTTCTACATGTGAAGACTATGTATTATCACCTCATGAGCGCTGAAATGGAGGAGATACAATGTCAGGTCTTGTGACATTTATTCACCACTAGATGAAAAGCGCGAAAATTAATTAGCAGCAGAGAGTAAGTACCCAAAAGTGATGATACTTCACAATTACATGTAAAGAACACAGATGCAGAATTACAAATAAATGTGGCAGAAGAGACATATTCAAGATAGAGAATACACGAGGTCTCGTTGTTTCTGAGAATAGTTTACAGTTATTTTCGATTGACGCAGGGAGACAAGAGCCAAACAATTTGATTGGATGAAAGAAAAGAATTTACACTGAACACATTGGGAATAGGACTTTTGTCTAACTGAGAAGAAATTTAAAACTGATGGACTTGCTGTATCTCATCTTCAAAATGTGGATGTGGTAACATGCAATAACTTTAGCACAATCTTTTACTTTTTATATATTTACAAAGATCGGGTAATCATATGTTTATCTTCGTTTTTGCTTTAGTTGAGTATTATGAATCATTTTTCGTTTTTGAAGATTCGAAGACGTTTCTGAAAATAAGGTCTAGGTGATTTAAGCTGGTATCTCTGGCTGCCTGATTTATCCTCTACAAGCACATTAGATGGGTTAAAAAATAAACATGCTCATAAAGGACTAGATCTTCACCTTTTTTTTTTCAAGAGTTGATTGTGTACATTTGACTTGTATCTTATTCTTCGCCATAAACATCACCATGATTTTATAAATTATCATGTCAAAAAAATACAACATGGAGCACTGTTTAAGCATATATATGACACACATAATTGGCTCTTACTCTTACTTTCCTCTTCCTCTATACTGTTCCAAATTCCTTTCAAATCCAAAGTCGGGTCGCAATGGTGATAATACGAGCACACATTATGCACTATGCCAAATACAGACGACCACACGACAAGCATTTAGATTTCGTGCCTGGCACCCAAACGCTGGTAGCATATTTTGAAGCCACATACCCCAACCATCTTCATTAGTCAAACGCGTGACAGTGTTTGCACCAACTCGAAACATATTCTAGTTCTCTTTGCCTGGGGGCAGTTTCGATGTCGTGGTCAATGCCAAGAACAGAAAATCACGCACTTGAAGATTTACTGATTAGCTTGGCCGCGGATTAAGGGTAGAGGAATACTAACAGCCAAGAATAGAGATAGAGATCTCACCTCTTGTGACTTTGTCAAAGTAAAGTTGTTTAGTACTTGCGTCGGAACATTCCTTTCACATGGTCGATGGGCAAATTGATATCACGAGCAAGAAGGAATGCCTGGCAGGTTCGGAGCATCGACAATATATTCATACTTTCTCATGAACAGAGAATCAAGGGCCGTTTGTGCTCCTGCTGCCACGTTTGGCACCCTGGGTTTGTTCGGAACCCTAAAGTGATCGTCTGGAGGCCTCTGGTGTATTTTTATGTGAAGTTGGCTGCACGTCTGTCACGACTATACTCAAACAGGTTCTGTTCCACAGCACGAACATCTTGATCTGTCAACACCATTGCATACAAGTCCCTTGATCCGGACGATGATCCAAGACCGCTGGCCGGGCTAGGTGCAACCCTGGGCTCGGCTCAGCCTGAGGACCGCCCCGCCGCTCTCATTCCGGAATCAGCCATCAGACTCTATTTCATAGCAGGTGTTCTACTGTTCAGGAGATGGCCGAATAAGTTGAAAGCGTATGACAACAACTCCTTTTCTCGAATCCTCACAGTAGACACTGAATTCATTAGCCTGCCTGTGGCACATCTTGAGCCATAGGCTCAGGATGTGGGTTGAAATCTGCTTACGAATATCCGCTTGAAACACTCCTTTTCTGGACACGATCGAACATGTCTCCAGCTTCGGCAGGAAGAAGATGCTTCTCACACACATCTTTCATGAGAAATTCCTCATCATGGTTGTCATTCTGTGACAACTATACTGTAGAAGAGTCTTTCTTGTGAGCTCAGCATCTTTATATCTTCCAAGAGTATTGATTCTCAAACCTTGAGCAGGAACATGAGTTATTACACAAACACAAGTAGCAGCCTGTCATCAATTCAGCATGTGATTTCTGTATTCACGTTAATTCATTTTGGCTTTGCGAATTCAACAAAATCAGTGGGTCCGCCATGGACACCCGGGAAGTCAAAAGAACAAAATGTGGGCAAGATTCGAGAAAGTTCTGTAGTTTCCACTATATCACTTTGAATAACACTGTTAGACGGACTGCTCCCTTCAGTACATTGGAGTAAGTCAGCAATCAACAGTTATTACAAGACCGGGCCTTATGGACTATTATACTTCTCTGGTACTGGGAAGTGGCTCGAAGTGTGAGTTCAAAAAACAGAGAGGGCGCTGGCCTGATAGTGACCAACTCTGCAATCGAGGCAATGTCCTGTGAATAGTATTTGCTAGCCAAGGTCCCACCAAAAAAAAACTATGCAGCCTAGCATCTTCAGTGGAGTGAACTGGAGGAAGTTCAGTTTAAGCATGGAGTGAAAAATAATATGAAAAATAATTTCTAGTCGTAATTAGAATTTGTACGACTCAAAAATTTTAAGATTTGTTGATATCAAACCCTCTGATCACCTCTTTGTCTTAATCTTAATGATATAATCGTAAGCATTCAGCATTTTATCGCATGAGGAGAATTATACTCTTGAAGTACAATTTAGTTGCATCAAGATTGTTAATGAATGTATATAAAACAGCCCAAGAATGAAAGCGCCAAAATTAAAAGCAATTGATAAGCTGAAGAATTGAAGAGACCAAATCTCTAAAACAGTTGAGAATTCCTAAGAGACATGTAATACCGTAACTTTAATTGAACACTTTCTTAGTCGAAACAACTCATTAGAGCTTTTTTGTGACTTAACATATTGATTGTGCAAATTAGACTACACATCCGATAAAACGGTATTTAATCACAGTTTCAAAATTTTAATATTTAAATATACTTTAAAGAAAAGAGAAAATCAAAGACATGAAAAAAAAGTTTCCATTTCAACGATTTTTAATTCAGCAATGTGCTTTATTTTTCTTCATTTGACATGTTTGGATTCATGATATGCGCATACGAGTGCAAAAGTGGCAGTATGCCTTGTTTCGTTTCAGTAAATATATCAGATATTTGAGTTTATGTGTACGGTTACACCAGATCTTCATATGAAGTCACGAATCACTGTTATCTAGCATTTGGCATCAAATGTATGTTTTAAGTCATGTATACAGCACAGTTCCTCTTCACTTGCAAGCAAGTTGAAAAAATGTAATTTCTTGAGAGGTTTGACGTTGATCTCAAGTATCATGCTGGTTCTATCCACTTCTATATGACGCGATAAACAAGCTAGAGTGCTCGTCGCACGGACGAAATTCGATCCCAATTTCATGTTTGAGGTGTAAAGACCTCCAGACTCTGGAACAAGAACTGCGCACATGCTCACATGCTTGACAGCTGAGCTATAAGAAAAATCATATCAGCAATCTAGACCTTCCAGTATTCTTCTACTTTAATCAAAGTTCTTCAACATGTGTCTAGTAAACTCCCAAATAGCTTATAAGTTTGTTCTGAACCTACAAGTTATGCAGAGTTATGTAGACTACTGTTCCAATATTCAAAGCAAAGAAAAAATCACAATAGGCCTTGTCAACCAGGCTGACAGCGCATGTGCCACTCAGTGATCAGAATACATCCACTGCTTGAATTGATCAAATATTCCAGGAAAATGATTCTATGAAGATAAACTAAGAATTATTGGTTGTAAGCATGACTACATCAAGTGTATCATGCACATTGAATGAAGCGAACAGTATACGTGAGTCACACTGGTGTGACTCACGTATACTGTTCGCATGCACAACAAAGTCAAGATCTACTCTGATCTTCTAAGACCATATTCCAATTACGGAGGAACATGCTTGTTGTTTTCGCATGTTGTGGTACCTTGATCTCTCACACGTCTCAATGAAAATATCTCAATGAAGACGTTGTATGTTTTTTCCAATCAATATCCATCGATTTTAGGGTCTGTCATGCTGTGGGTCTTGATGCAGCTAGATTCGCAGTCTCCCAATACAACTGTACATCAAGTTCTTACACAACTCGTGTACTTCCCATCTAATATAAATACAGAATCATGTTATCAATGACATTGTGCAATCACATCGCACCCTCTTTGCCACAATTTATTTCAGATTCACGTGCAGAGAGCTTGTCCATTCAGTTCGGTCAGCAGTAAACATCAAACGCCTCTCTCCGTTGGAGTTTACAAGAGTTTTGCATTTCCGAGAGATGTGAAGTACCCTTTGCTATGTAAGAATTCGCTTGGAAGCATAATAGCTGTTGTTTTGCTCACAATTTTATTCACATTGCTTGTTGCACCCTGAGTTTGAGTAGCCTTCTGATTCCACTTCGCACGATCTCGCTACATTAGTGATGATTGCTCATGATCCATTTATGTGCAGAGATTGGAGTACTATGTGCGTCGCTGCTGTTGCACCGCGCAAGAAGTTTTATGCCCAGCAAGCACTTGCACACGAGTTGTGACACTGAGACGTGAAATTTACAAATTCTTCGGCTGAACCGGGATTTGGGATCAGGGTGCATTCTCTTACGCTTGGTTACATTTGGCCACTCAATCCAAGCAGCAAACGTTTACTTCTCTGTGAGAGTGGAGGAGAGAATGGAAGGCGCAGGTCCATCCATTGTCAGTCAAGCTGCTGAACTTACTAGCCGAAAAATGGACTACTCAGACGAGGAACCGGAGCTTCCCCGCGAGGTCGACGCCGAACTTGCAACACGGGAAATAGACTCCTCAAACGAGGATTCGGAGCTTTCCCGCCAGGTCGAGGTCGAGGAGGAGGTCGAGGACCTTATAGAGTGTTTGGAAGGAAAAGGCTTTCAACCAACGGGGCTTTCACGGCATTTCACAACCCTTTCTGAAAGGGTTCGTAAGGAATTCTTTCCGGAGCGTGCATCGCTCTCGACGATAACAGTGCGGCAAAGCCAAGTGCGCCTTCGACTGCTGGAGGCAATCGGCAACTGCAAGACCCTTGAGTATTTGGAGGTAGAAGAAATTTGTGACCATGATATATCGAAGTTGACGGATAGCGAATGGGATGTAGTTTGGAGAGGGTTCAAGTCTAGCACTGTTCTCCGAGAGATAAGCATTAAAGATATGCATTGGAATTCAGATACGGAAGTGGAGAGATTGTGTTTACAGCTTGGGGGAATTCTGAGTAGCTCTAGCGTTACACGTTTGGATATACGGTCCTGCCCATTAACTGCCAGATGTTTCCTGAATCTTGCCTCAGGACTGCGAGAAAATTCTGATTCTAATCTTAAGTATTTAGAACTATATACGGCGTGGGAGGACTTGAGTGCAGTGAAGCATGTGGCTGACATGATCAACAGTGCTATGGTAACACACTTTTTGTTTTTTTTGCAGAATTTAAACAATTTTAGAAAACTAGTACCAAAGTAGTGTTTGTAGTTAGAAAAGTGTACGTTAAATAGAGTGGATTGATGAGATCGTCACGAGGTCACAAAGAATCGCGTAGTCGGATGTACCAACGCCAATGTCTTTGTAATAACCCACTAAAGGCTAAAACTGCAATATAGTGGTAGAAAGGTCGAACCCACAGGGACAGAGTAACACACAGGGTACAAAGTGTCACGTTTTAACAGACTATTGAGGAGTTTGAATTCTCAGGCAACTGTCACTCCCAGAAATACTGCAAGTGTCCACTCGGAGCGCACTCGGAGGTCGCACAGTGCAGCGTAACACATACACACACACACACCTGAAACTACAGAAACACAACCCAGAGATCCGTTAGGACCTCTACTTCAGGATTTCAGGGGGAAAGTCTCTCGCGAGCACACTCGGCGAAGCTGCGGGTAGTGACTTCCAACTCCGGCTTTTACAACACTTCCACTAGCTTGCTGCTAGTGTAGGAAACCCGGTTTGGACTGCCTACTTCGGATCGAAGTCACTCATACGCGGTGAACAACACTCTCAACTCACAAAACGCGCAGAGAACACAGGTCCGCACTGAAGGACTCACTGAGAAACATTCCAGTAACACAACAACAGTCTATTGAAGAGTTTGAATTCTCAGGCACTTGTCATTCCCAGAAATACTACAGGGGTTACCCTCAAGGCACCTGCTGCAGCGTGGCCTGAATTTACAACCAAGGCTTACACGAAGTAGCAAAACTTCACTTTGGCATTCAGGGGAAAAATCCCAAAGGAGTACAATCAGAAAGAAACACTCAAAGGTGTAGGGGCGAAACTGTTCAAGTATCTAACTAGTCACTGGCTCTGAGCATCGGCAGTCACCCGCAGGTGCAATTCCGAACTACTCAAGTCTCTAACCAATGTACTAGCTCTGAACATTCGGCCGAAGGCCTTCAGTTACAAAATGCGGAACGCTAAGTTGTAACTCCTCGTGCGTGGTGACAGAACTCAAGGACACAAACACGCAAGTAAATGGGGTCCTGATCTGCACTTCTGATGGGAAAGAACCCCAGGCAAAACGCCTGGAACTATTTTATACCTTCTAAGTCCTACTAGCACTACACTACACGCCTGCACGGAACCACGCTACACTACACTCCGCGGAACCTGTGCTACGTCTCCTGCGCGACGGACTGCCGCGCACTAACTCCCTACCCTGCCAGTCTTCTGCTCGACTGCGCAGTCCCAATCGCTGCAACGCCGCGGACACCTCCACTTCGAGGGCGGACATGGTATCCTGCGCCTTCGACAGAAAAGCATCGAGCTTCTTTGATACCTTCCGCCGACTCCTACTGTCGCCTGACAACAACCCGGCTGCGCGAAGTTCAAACTCACGCAGTGTGAGTTTCTCCTGCGCCGCCACTTCCCAGTGGGCGTAGCCCTTGAGACAGTGGGCGACACGCCTCGCCGTCTCCATCTTTGTGCGATCTGCCTCCTTCCTGCGATCCTCTTCAATTACCACTAATTGCGATTCGGCCTCAGCACGTTGCGCTCTCAATTCGCCACACTCTGACTGTAGCCTGCGGATTACCTCCTCATCCGCCTGCCGTGCGAGCTGACACTGTTCTAACAACCGCGTCTGTCGCACGAGCTCCTCTGACAAAATCCGATTCTGGGCCTGCTCAGAAATTAGTGCTTCTGTGACCTTCACCTGCTCCTTGGTGAGCTCTTCCAGTTTCCCATCCCTCACCTTCTCGGAGTACTTGTAGAATTTCTGATTGAGTTTATACTGACCCCACAAGCATTCATGCTTCTCCTTCAATTCCCTCAAGTCCTGGTTCACTCTAGCTAGTAGCTTGCTGGTGTGGACTTTAGTGCGAGTCCGCCTACGCACTAACTCGATGTAAGATCCCGGCTGAAGTGGGTCGGCGTATTTATCGACTTTGCGATCCAAGTACCTCAGCAACGGAATCACCTGCTCAGAGAGCGCCGCCGCCGGCGCTCCAACAATTTCCTCCTCCTCCTCCTCGGTGTCCCCTGCTCCTGACATTTCTTCGGTGGAGCCTCCGTCGTCATCATCCGAGTGGAGAATTTCAGTCGCCATTGATTGCGTTGGCGACTGACCCGAGTGGGGCTGCACGTCGTCGACGTGTGCTGCCTGCGAAGGCACGGCTGCAGCCTCGCTGCTCTTCGCCAAAATGTCTAAGGCGGTAGGCGAATGTGCCCGTGCTGCATCCCCGCCGCCCGCTTGTTGATCGTCTACCGTATCCTCCCTACCGCCGACGTCCGCCGCCGAAGGCGATCGAGCGGAGGGTGGCTGCGCGGGGTTTGATTGCGCATCGCGCACCGAAAATTCATCCCGCGGACAGTCACTCCGCTCCTCCGCCACTTGTTGCTCCCTTGATCGGCCCGCGGGGGCTGTGCTTGGTCTGTGCGCAGGCGCAAATGCCGGCGCCTTGTCCGCCGCAGGCGTAGCGCCGCGGACATCCATCGCCAAAGGCGACATGGTCGGGGGCCGCTCGCCCGATGTCCCTTGGCCCTGAGGCCCTACCGCCGAAGGCGCATCTACCGGCGGATTACCCGCCGATGGTGTGGCCTCCGCACACTCCCTGCTCGTATCTCCTCGGCTCGAAGGCCCTGGCGCCGAAGGCGCAAATCGCGGCGCGTGGTGCGCCGGAGGGTCTGGCCCCGAAGGCCGGTGTCTTGTAGGCGGCTCTTCCGCCGGCTCCTTCCCCTTCCTACGTTGGAACGGGGGTGATTCCTGCCTGTGCACAGGCGGCACGTGTGGAGGTGACCTGTGCACAGGCGGACTGCTCCTTCCCACGCGTAAGCGTAGATCTACGTCCGCTTGTGATCGTCTGTCCGCGGAGGCTCGTCCGTCCGCGGAGTCTCGTCTGTGCGCAAACGGAACACCTGTCCGCAACGCACGTGGTAACTCCGGAGGCCCTTGGCCCGTAGGCGGCCTCTCGCCCGTCGAGGCTGCAGCGTGGTCCGTTGCTCCTGCGGACGTCCACGCTTCCTCATGCTTCTCTGGCGACGCACTTCCTTTCTCCGTCGCAATCGTCGCCGTGTCCGCACTGTTGGCTGGTAACACCAGTCTGCGTGCCTTCTGCTTCGGCCGGCTGTATGACTCGTACAACAGCCGCGGTCGAATGGGAGCAGAGGGTTCTTGATGCTGCTCCTCTTCGGACTCTTCTCTCCATCGCCGCTTCCGCGGCACTCGTGCTGCAGGAGTGTTTCTCCCTTCGTCCCTCCGCCTTGATGGAGTAGAAGTCGGTGACTCCTCTGCATCAGTGTCGACCTCATTCTCCCGCACATACTTCCCGGGATGGTCGACGGACAACGGCGGAAAACGCTCAAGCTCCGCCGCTGTCAAACAATTCCGCTGTCGATAAAAATTGATGAGGAAAGGAGAGAGATGGTTTAGAGTTCCCCCCTTCTCCTCAAAAGCGTGCTGTCGCATCACCCTGTGCAGGATGCTCGCCCAGTGAATTGGAGTTCCCTCGATGACGCACTCCACAAAAGAGACCTGCCACAATGTGATGTAGCAGGCGCGGTGTGGCTGCAGTAATTGCATCAGCGCCGCGGACAAAGTCCGGCGAAATCGATCCTTGTAATCGCGGGTCCTGTACCCATTCTTGGTAGACCTTCCAGTCTTGAACAGCTCCACAAATTGCGCCTCTTCCTCCTTGGTCACCTTGATGCTCTCACTGTCGAAGAGGAGATGCCCTGGCATGCCGGCACATCTTCCCAATGCCTGCGCCCAATCTTGGACTGTCCACCGATCAACATGCGGACGCAATCCGCGCGAGGGTGGTCCCTGTGGCTCTAGCCACTCGCGCACCATATCCGCACAGATGTAGTTCCATCCCCATAGCAAGAAATCGAGCTTTCTTGCTATCAAGCGCTCCTCGAAAGCGCGCAGCCCGTTCTGTGGTAGACGAAGCGGCAGCATCCGCAATCTGCCCGGTCTCGTCATTGCGTTCCTGGAGTTCGCTCGCCCGCTCATTCTACTTCCGCACCGCTCGAGCTCCTTTTTCTCTCGGCAAACTCTAATCGCCCTCAATTCCAAATCACGCGCACTCACTTCTCCCTCAATCACCAAGAAATCCTCTGTGCGGCGATGTCGAGAATGCTTAGCAGCCAGCAGATGGACGCGCGCAGCTCGCACAAGAGAGTGGAATCGCGAATTCAAGAATGGGACGCTCTCCGCCGCCCGGTCGAAGGTCATGGTCGGCTCTTGCTCGTGGAGGACGTCTCAATTGATGGCCGCGCCGGCTCTACGCTGGAACGGTCTCCGCTCTCACGCGCGGCTTCACGCTCCGCCGTCGCCGATTAAACTCTCACGCTCGAATTGGCGGATTTGGACTCCGCGAGCGTACTACCCCGCGGACATGGGAGCGCAGCGCCGAAGGCGAGTTTTCCGCCTTGCGCGGTACACTTGTTCGTACCGCTCCTCAGCCAATCCCCTTCTGCCTCGACGCGTGTGTCCGCATGTCGGACAAAAGTTCAACTCCTGCCTGTGCGCAGGTAGACTCCTCGGCGGATTCTCCGCCGGCGCGGAACTTCATCCTCCTGTGCACAGGCGCTCGCCTGTGCGCAGGCAAATTCCGTCCGCGGCGACGCGCCGGCGCGGAAGGCGTTGACCGTGGTCAGCGTCTCCGTCCAGACTGTCCGTTCCTTGTCTCTTCGTCGGCGCTTCCGCCGCCGCAACTCCGTCCGTCCAAGAGCGCATCCACCCGTCCCGTCCGCATGGTCCGTACGGATTTGATTATTCTGGCGGCTCCTTGCTCGTCCGCGGCGCTGTGCTGGCGCAGAAGGCGCCGTACACTTTCTACCTCACAAGGCGCATTTCTAGGGCCCAAGGCGGATTTCCCGCCGACGCCGAAGCGCTTGTGCACAAGTGACCTCCTGTGCGTAGGCGGACTTCGCGCCTCCTCAAACCCTACTTCGCCTGTGCACAGGCGAACTTCCTTCGTCCGCGCATAGGGCAAAACTTGATCCCCCTTCCGCGTAGGCGGAATTCCCGCCGGTGGCGAACTCCTTCCGCCGAAGGCGAACGTCTACGTATCTTCCGATAGTGATAACTCTCTAAGTCCTCATCCGTTCCAAGCGTTCTTGAGCTCGTTGGAATCAGTGCGTTGAGCTCTTTCCAACGAGACCCTAAC